CTAACAATAAAAGAAAAACTCTAAGGGGGAAATAAAGATAAATGAGGGGATTAATCACCTGCCTTAGCCTTCTAAGTAGCTGGAGCCACAGGTGCTATCATACAGTAACAGAACACCTAAATCCTCAATAAACATGACAGTATGTCAACAGTTCACAAATAGGCAGACTAAAAGAACAGAAAAAAGATCAGAAATGGAACAAGATATATATGAGAATTTAGTATATAACAGTCATGAAGAGGTGGACTAAACTAATAAATAGGTGGAGACCTCTGAATAGTTATTTAGGAAAATTAAACTTATACCTATAACACACTGTGTACACAGAAAAATTCCAAATGGAGCAAAGATTTAAATGTAAAAACTAAAATCACAAAAGTAACAGGATATAACAATTCTTTATAAACTCAAGAACAGGGAAGTCTTTTCTAACTGACAAAAGCTTAAGTAAAAATAATTCAACCACAATCAGAAAATTGAAACTGGAAAAAATATTTTTAATTTATCACAAAGGGTTGATTCTCCTAATGTATACCGAATTCCCACAAATTGCTAAGAAAAAGATAATAATCTCACAGAAAAGTGGGTGAGGGATATAAACTAACAACTCTCACAAGAGGAAATACAAATTTTTCTTAAACATGAGAATAAATTCAATCTCACTCAGAATAAAAGAAATGCAAATTAAAGCTACACTGAGATAGGCTGGGCATGGTAGCTCACACCTGTAATCCCAACACTTTGGGAAGTAGAGGTGGCTCACACCTGTAATCCCAACACTTCGGGAGGCAGAAGCAAGAGGACTGCCTAAGCCCAGGGGTTCGAGACCAGCCTGTGCAACTCAGCAAACCTCGTCTCTACAATAAATCAAAAAATTAGCTGGGTGTGGTGGCACGCACCTGTGGCTCCAGCTACTTAGAAGGCTAAGGCAGAAGGACTGCCTGAGCCCAGCAAGTTGAGGCTGCGGTAGCCATGAGCGTGCCACCGCACTCTAGACTGGGTGACAAAGTGAGACCCTGACTTGGAAAAAAAAAAAAAAAAAAAAGGCTACATTGAGCTTCAAAAAATAAAATAAAAAAATCAACTTTTCCCCATTGGCGTAGTCAAAATATAAAAGTTTGCTAATAGGCTGCTTTGATAAGAATTTAAGATTACAGGAACTTTCAACCACTGTTTGCTGAGGTACAAAATGGTGAAACGCTATTGAGAGCAGCAGCTACAACATCACACACATATATATAAGTCAACCCTTGAACAACATGAGTTTGAACTGTAAGGGTCCAATTATATGCAGATTTTTTCCAACCAACCCTGAATAGAAAAGGTATTTGGGAGAAGAGAAACCTATGCACACAGAGAGCCAACTTTCTGTATACTTGGGTTCCACAGGGCCAATTGGGGGACTGGAGTATGTGCAGATTTTGATATATGCAGGGATTTTGATATATGCAGGGGTCCTGGAACCAATCTCCTGCATATAACAAAGGACAACTGTCCTCTTTAATCAAGCCACTTCACTTCTAGTAATTTAGCCCAAAGTTACAGTTGCACCTGTTGAAATTATGGCTATACAGCGTTATTGAACACAACACTGCACAAAATAGCAAAAGGTAGACACTATCTAAAATGTCCACCAATAAAGTAATTAGTTCAATAAATTATGGTATAGCCGGACTCGGTGGCTCAGCCTGTAATCCCGCGCTTTTGGGAGGCTGAGGTGAGTGGATTGCCTGAGCCGGCGGGTTCAAGACCCGCCTGGGCAGCGAGACCTTATCTCTACAAAAAATCAAAAAATCAGCCGGGCGTGGTAGCGCATGCCTGTAATTCCGGCTACTTGGAAGGCTGATGTGGAAGGATCGCCGGAGCCCAGCAGGTCGAGGCTGCGGTGGCCAGGAACGGCCACTGCACTCCAGTCTGGGTGACAGAGTGAGACTCCAACTCAAAAAAAAAAAAAAAAAATTATGGTATAACCATAGAAGGATATTTCGCCACTGTAAAACAGAATTGGGAAGAGAGAAGAATGGGCTCTAAGCATTTAATCAGAATGTTAAGATTTGGCAGAATGGAAAGTGTCATCATAAAAAACAGTATATAAAACTTTATTTCAAAAATAAGAACAGCAGTTATAGTTCTATTAATACATCAACAAATAAAAAAAAAAGGTTCAGAACCAAGTATTTTATGCTAACATCTGTATAAAAGGAGGAAAAAATTTATGTATTTATATTTACTCCAGAATTATACAGAAAATAATAAAAGCTACTTGGTGCTCAGAGTAAGAACTTAGTAAGTATGAAACAGAGATAGGCATGAAACAGATACAATTCTCTATTTCAGGATGAAATTCTGTAAAGTGGAACATTACATAAACACTACATGATACTTTGACAGTTTACTCCAATCAGAAAACTATTCAAGCTTTCAATATCTAATCATGGTCTCACTGAGCTTATTCTACAATATCATGTTATAAGTGTACTTACGAAGGCTCCATTTAGTACCCAAAGTAATAAGCCAGAAAGTTTAAATTTCAAGTGTACTAGACACAATCAATTTCTAAAATTAATGTTTCTGGTTATTAGGCAACTGTTTTTATAATAAATATTTCAATCTATTCAGAAGTAATATAAGTACAATTTTATTTATTTATTTTGGTTTGGTTGGTTTGGTTTTTGAATCGATGTCTCACTCTGTCATCCAGGCTAAAGATCACAGCCCACCAAAGCCTCGACCTGGGCTCAGGTGATCTGTTTCTGCCTCAGCGTGTGTCATCACATGCAGCCAATTTTTGTATTTTTTGTAGAGACGAGGTTTCACTATGTTGCTTAGCTGGTCTTGCATTCCTAAGCTCAAGGAACCCCAAAGTGCTGGGAGTACAAGCGAAAGCCACCATACTCGGTCATAAGTATACAGTTATTTAAAACTACAGTGTGACTTATTTTGCTGATTAAGCTAGAAATCTAAGCCAAGCACCCAATTTTTCTTCTACAACACACAGCAATTACTTCCCATAAATTGGCTAACAACATAAAAAACTTGTAATAAAGGACTGAAAATTAAAGCATTTTGCAACATAAAGAAAACCTTCCCATTTCACAGATTTTTTCAAGGCAGTGTCATCTACAGGAGCTGAGTTGATTGAACCTAGATGTTTTGCTTCTGGTGTGCTATTTTTTCTACTATGCCACACTTATTCCTCTGTGGCTTATCTGGCACTCTCTTAGTGCTGTGAGGGGTTCTCAGGGCTAAGTTTTGAAACCCAGAAAGTCCTTCTATAGATAAAAATAAAACTCAGAGACACATACAACTTTTCATGGAATAGGCAATTCTAATAAAAAAATATTAATGGAACCATTGGAGTACACCATTCAAACCACATCTGAAGTTCTGCAATCACAATGTTAATAAAACATATTGTTACATGAAAATTAACCTAAAAATTAAGGATTATGACCTTTATTCTAGATGAAATGTATCTATTTCAAGCCTGTATTTCTTGCCTTTCTTTAATTTTCATCATTGGTTTTACCGCTAACCCTAAAGCATATCAATTACAGTTCATTCCATTTTTCTTAAAAGGGCATGCAAGTAAAAGGAAAAAGAATTATAGTTCCAGGAGTATTTTTTAAAGGGAAAAAATATTATAGTGCTGTTTCCCATCATTTAACTGAAATGAATGCTTTATCTTCAATTGGTAATATTTTAGCCTTTTGCACTTGGATGTCCCCTCTGAGATTTGAAATCTAACAAACCACTTAGATGTCCTGTCTCAGGGGACATAAAAGGATTGCTGGTGATTATACAGGAAAAACTTATGCCAGCACAAATTTTTCTAAAAAGTATGTTTCCTTGAAGTTTTCTATTCAAACTACATGAAAAATCAAATAAACAGATGGAGTATATACTGATATATGATCAGTCAGTTGAGAAGTAGATTTCAGGAATCCTTCCATATCTTCTTCAAACAACACACTGAATGATAAATAACACATTAATGTGAGAAGACGAAAATTAGACTGCATTGTCTACTCCAATAGAAAAATACCAGGTAGGAGATGTCAAACAAATTACTATTTCACAACATGTATCAATGAATGTGCAACCCATGACAATGACTGTTTCACACATCACCACAAATTAGGAAAATGTATGATATGAAATTTTGACCTTTTGTCATAAGTAAGTTCCTCATGTCAAAATTCCATTATAAGCCAAACATCATTACAAAAAAAATTGGTTCCAATGCTAAACTATTTTTCAGTTTCATAAAAAAGTGTGGTCAAGTTGCTGGTAAGTGACCCATGAGATGTCTCCAAGTGCAAAGGGTTAGTTTGTCTCAGGGAATAATAAAGAAAGAATACTATGGCTGGGCTCAGTGGCTCAGCCTGTAATCCCAGTGCTTCGGGAGGCCGAGGTGAATGAATTACCTGAGCCCGCGGATTCGAGACCCGCCTGGGAAATTTGGTGAGACCTCATCTCTACAATAAATCAAGAAAAATTAGCTGGGCATGGTAGCATGCACCTGTAGTTCCAGCTACTTGGAAGGCTGAGGCGGAAGGATCGCCAGAGCCCAGCAAGTCGAGGCTGTGGTGGCCGTGAGCATGCCACTGCGCTTCAGCCTGGGCAACAGAGTGAAACTCCAATAAAAAAAAAAAAGTGCACTTTCTGAATTACTACCAAACCCCAAAATTAGAAGGGGCAAAATGTCTGGAAAACTGTTTCTCATTATTTACACTTCATCATATTAAAATCTAAAACAATTCCTTCTGCCTTCCAGTTTACCCAGTAAAATAAATTCAACACTCTCCACTTTCCTCTAGTTCTAATAATTCACATGCAATGATAAGACATAACTATAATTAAGACTCATAAACATTCATCAATGACTATATCACTGCCATCTCAATGTAACTAACCCTCTTTTTGCCCAAATTTTAAAATATAGGAAGACATAAATCAGGACTCACTTTAAGTTTATAAAATGTGATACAGACACTCACCTACATAATGCATATTAAGAGCCAAATACTTATACTGGAAAAGAGGGTTGTTACTGAGGCTACTTCTTTGGATCTGCTGGAAAAAAGAGCTGACATCCCATCTGTACAGGACATCCAACAGCATGATGCTTGGCACCCTCAGAGCCACATTCAACATTGCCTCCAGTTTCTCTTTTGCAGCCATGTTTTTTTTCCTTGGAGTAGACCTAAAATTCAGAAGACACATATTTAAAAATATGTCAACACAAATAGCTTCTAGATATCCTTTTATGAATCTAATGGATTATCACATACTATACAAAACTATGTTAGAATGCATAAAACTCCTGAGCTACATCTGCTATTTTTAGACAGTTAAGAAATAAGCTTTGTTTTGTGTTTTCACATTAACCCTCTCAGGTCTGCCCAGTCTTACAGTTCTGATGAAATGTTCAGACCTCAAAATTTATTTTTAAAAGGCCACTAACAACAACCACACACAAAAAAACAGGATTAAAAAACTCAAAAAATCAGGGCCCATAGTCTGAGAAAAAAAAAAAAAAAAAAAAAAGCCCAATGACTCCAAATCTAAGCACTTAGAAACAAAACACCCTATAAGAATACTGTAACCTTTATTTAATTAAATTGAAAAATTCACTCCAATGAAATTAATTAAGATCTATGTAGCTCTTTTTTTTTTGAGTAGGAGTCTGACTCTGTCGCCCAGGCAGAAGTGCAGTGGCATGCTCATGGCCATGAAGTCTTGGCCCACTGGGCTCAGACGATCCTTCCAACTCAACCTTCCAAGTAGCTGGAACTATAGGAGCACACCACCACAGCCAGCTAATTTTTTTATTTATTGTAGAGACGAGGTCTCACCAAGTTACCCAGGCTGGTATCGAACCCCTGGACTCAGACAATCTTCTCATCTCCACCTCCCAAAGTACTGGGATTACAGGTGTGAGCCACCATGCCTGGCAATGTAGCTCTTAAGAGTGCAAATTTTTCGCGGGTTCGAGACCCGCCTGGGCAGTAAGACCTCATCTCTACAATAAATCAAAAAATCAGCCGGGCATGGTAGCGCATCCCTGTAATTCCGGCTACTTGGAAGGCTGAGGTGGAAGGATCACCGGATCCCAGCAGGTCAAGGCTGCGGTGGCCGGAAGCGGCCACTGCACTCCAGTCTGGGCGACAGAGTGAGACTCTAACTCAAAAAAAAAAGAATGCAAATTTTTAATATCTGCTCTATGAAAAAGCCTAAGCAATTCAATAAAAATTTGGTAACTGCACAATTAGTTTGCAGCATCTTATAATCCTTTTCCTTATTCACTTACAATCAAAAAGTACTAAATCAAAATGCAATAAACATACAATCCAGAGAATGCCTGATGTAGACACAGGTAGAATAAACATTATTTGCAATATTGTTTCCTTGAATCTTTAAAGTTAAATTTGGTCTAAAATTTCCACAATCAGCCGGGTTCAGTGGCTCGGCCTGTAATCCCGCACTTTGGGAGGCTAAGGTGAGTGGATTGCCTGAGCCCGCGGGTTCCAGACCCGCCTGGGCAACTTGGTGAGACCTCATCTCTACAAGTCAAAAATTAGCCAGGCGTGGTAGCGTGCGCCTGTAGTTCCAGCTACATGGAAGGCTGAGGCAGAAGGATTGCCGGAGCCTAGCAGGTCAAGGCTGTGGTGGCCAGGAGTAGCCACTGCACTCCAGTCTGGGCTAAAGAGTGAGACTCCAACTCAAAAAAAAATTTCCACAACCTATCTTCAAACTGGGAAAATAATGCTCATTAAATTCTTCCCTTGATATACAGACAAGCAGGCACATAGATGAAGCCGGGCATTGAGTCTGCAGCCCCTGTCTCTGCATGGACCTCGGTAAGTAGTAAAAGACCACATAGACCTTGGTTAAGTAGTAAGAGACCACAAAAGGGGGGGTAGGAAAATGAAAGGCAGTAAGCAGGACAATCTACTACTTAAAAGTACAATTCCAGCTGTGCACAGTAGCTCAGGCCTGTAATCCCAGCACTTGCCGAGGTGGGAGATGAGACCAGTCTGGGCAACATAGCAAAACTTGGTCTCTACAGAAAATTTAAAAATTAGCCTGGTGTGGTAGCATGCGCCTATAGTCCCAGCTACTCAGGAAGCTGAAAGGGGAGATGGCTTGGGCCCTGGAGTTTGAGGTTGTAGTGAGCTGTGATCATGCCACTGCACTCCAGCCTGGGCAACAGAGACCCTGACTCAAAAAAAAGGAAAAGAAAAAAGTATAATTCAATGCAATACTGCTTTATATGGTAAAGTTGCTAGTTAATCCAAAAAATTATAAAGGAACAGGGCAAACAAAAGTGCGTAAAGGACAATTTAAAGAGTACAGATAATTCTGGATTGTTGGCACAGACAATATCCTTTTAAGAATTTTGCTGAGAAAGCTAAACACATTTCCAGCTTTGGCAGTAATTTGAGACATTACAGGACAAATGAAAACATGTATTTCTCAAGAAAATTATAGTGACAGATTACTATGCTATGGTTAAATATTTGTCAGTATTTCCATCTTACTCTCCAATTTTCATAGTTTCCTAGCTCGGATAGTTAAAAGTTAAAGTCAGCTCAACATGGCACACTGTGAAAAGTTTTTCAATGATCCTGTACCAACCATCCCCATAACCCAAATGATATATCCCACCAATAGGATAAAATTAACATTTCTGTAGATAACTATTGCAATCCTGATTACTTTAAATGAACAAGACAACTTTAGTAATTCTCCTACATAAGAAAAAAATAATATTAGGAGACTCAAAACCAAATAGTTGTGTCCTAAGAGGGAAAAAGCACTGAAAAATAAAATCTCTAACCTTTAACATTTATTGCATACTACACTGTTCAGGAACCTAAACTAAATTTCTCAAAGCCCATGATATTGTTTTTTAATTCTGGGAAAAAATACACCAAAGTAGTCATTATAACATCCTTTCAAGGGTGATTTTTATTACCTTCTATATTTTTCTGTTTACCAAGTTTTCTAGCATATCTATGAATTATTTTACTAGAGGAAAGCTTAAAAATAATCCCAGCACTTTGGGAGGCCAAGGTGAGAGGACTGCCTGAGCCCATGGGTTCGAGACCAGCCTGGGCAACTTGGTGGGACCTCATCTCCACAATAAATCAAAAAACTAGCCGGGCATGATGGTGCATGCATGTAGTTCCAGCTACTTGGAAGATTGAGGTGGAAGGATCACCTGAGCCCAGCAGGCCAAGACTGCGGTGGCCGGGAGCATGCCACTGCCCTCCAGCTTGGGCAACAGAGTGAGACTCCAACTCAAAAAAAAAAAAAAAAAAAAGAAAAAAGAAATTGTTAGCAAAAAGCTGAATATGTTTAAGCTATTTAAATGACTTTAGGAAATATACAAGAAATAACTGCTTACTCTGGTGGTACAACTGATACCTCAATGTCCTCTTGGAAATTTATTTCAAAGTATATGAACAGATTTTTCTTACAAATCACCAGTCACATGTGAAAATCACCATCTACTGAGATAACTGTCATTGACAGGTTTTATATTATAGTGGAAAGTAACTATTTTTCCATATTCTAGAAGCCAATATAAATCAGTGAGGGAAGCCATTACTAATATCTGTGGTCCATAGTTATTTCATCTGATTTGGAACCTGCCTGTTTTTAATGTCTCGTTATTTTAAAATGTACACACTTTCACTACTTATTGTAGCTCTTAAAAGGGTAAAGAAAAATATTTAAACAACTAATTCTGCATTAGAAATCAAGATCTGCTGGGGGGGAAAAAACCTCCCTAATCTTTACAGAGGATCATCTCTATTACAAAAGAAGGCCATTAGCTGAATGGTACATGTTCCCTCTTAAATTCCACCTACCACTCCTGCCTGACAAATATAACAAGAAAGAGAAAACGGTAGCTCGTTCTGCTTCTAGAAAGAGAAAATCTTGGATCCCTAAAGCTGTCAATACAGAAGAATATCCAAGGAGAATGGCAGATCCCCAAATTCTATGGCATAATCAATTCAAGACTCAAATATTTCTAAGAAGGACCCTGAATGGAATTAAGTGTGTCCATTTAATAATGAATCTACTGCTTATTAAATGTTTCATTTATTTCTGTACATGATTGATACATTTCAAGTCACTGGCAAGTTAGCCATGTATAAGGATGTGGAGGAAACAAATTGAGTACATAGAAAATCAAAGAGAAAAAAAATTTTATACCTCATAACTATGAAACCTTTCTAAAACAAAAATGAAAAGATGGTAACCATCACAAATTGGTGCTGTACACTACACTTTAGCACCACACACTAACCCAACGCTAAACAAAATTTTCAGATATTTATCTTGTTTGCAGATACTTGATCACTCACAACTGCCAAGACACTATATTACTTTAAATGAGGTAAAATGGAGGCTTCTCTCCTGAGATGGAGAATACCTCTATAATGTTTGGTTCAAATCTAATTTATCTTTTTCCAAGCCAGGCTCGGTGGCTCAGGCTGTAATCCCACGCCTTTGGGAGGCTGAGGTGAGTGGACTGCCTGAGCCCACGGGTTCGAGACCTGCCTGGGCAGCGAGACCTCATCTCTACAATAAATCAAAAAATCAGCCGGGCGTGGTAGCGCATTCCTGTAATTCCGGCTATTTGGAAGGCTGAGGAGGAAGGATCTCCGGAGTCCAGCGGGTTGAGGCTGCGGTGACCGGGAATGGCCACTGCACTCCAGTCTGGGTGACACAGTGAGACTCCAACTCAAAAAAAATAATAATAATAATTTATCTTTTTCCAGATTTCTTGTCAAATAGGGCTAAAAACATATTTTACAGAAGTGAACTCAAAATCATCTTTTAAAAAATGCCAAATAATCCTAGAAAATAAGCAGGAGAGCTGAAAGCAAAGAAAACTGAAAGGTCTGACATACCCAAAGCCAAAACGCAAACTTCCTGCACTGTTTTTCCTTCCATGCAAGATTTTAAAATTTCCTTCTTGAACTGTGAAAAGAACTGGGGAAGCAATACTACAGCACGATGCCTCTGTAAGTAATGTAAACTAAATGTGACTCAAACTTAAAAATGCCTTACACACTAAAACAGCAAAAAATGAAGAACACATATATTACTTTCCTAAAACCTCAAGAAAGGTTCAACAAATGCTGACCAAAAACAAGACCTCAACTATTTCATTAAATGACTTTCCCAGGCTTGGAAGCAGCAATCGTACTTACAAAAACAGTCATGTCTTGTACAAGTATAATGTTGTACAGTTTACCATTACGATGTGCGGGCTGGGAAACACAGGAGGCCTCATTCTACACTTTCCTGAAAATATAGTACTTTGGTTTTGAATATGAAGAAATCAAGCAAATTGCTCTAAACAATAAGAAAACGTAGGTTTTTTAAAGTCATCGCTGGTTTCTGCTGAAGAACTTTATCAAATAAAAAACAAATGGAAAAGGTGATTTTACCAAAAAAGGACCCATACTCACATCTCCCGAATTCTTTTTTAAAAAGCAAAAGCAAGAAGTACACGTGACACAGTTTAAAATGATTCTGTACAATACTTAGATAATTTAGGGCTGAAAGTTTCTACACTCCCCCCAAGAAAAACAAAAGCCATCACTCATCATTAATCTCCCCTCATTGTCCCAACCAGCTTAGAAAAAAAATACCATCAATTAAAACCGATTTTAAGAAAGACAAATTTTCTCGCTGTCTGTTAGCATAGTAAGCCCTGAAAATGTAGGAGTACAGAGCTAGAGCCTAATATCCTAAGTAAACTCAGGCCCAAACTGAGATTCCAGGGAAGGGAACGCACATCTTACATAAGCGTTGGCACATGTTTTAAATATAGCTGGTCCTCCCCACTCCCACTCGTTCGAGGCTAACTTTGTATGTACCTGATCTCCACATAAACTACTAGCAATTCTGTGGTTTCCCATCATCTCTGAAATGGCAAAGATAGTCCACTCCGAATACAAAGGCTATCTTTCAACTTAAGGAGCAGACAGAGGAAATAAAAACTGCTACCTCTCCTCTGCCATCGGGCACTCAGCCTGGGTCACGACTGCAGCACCGACAGCTCATCCTTTTGGGCCCGATTCAAGATCCAGTAGAAGTGCACACTCCGAATTTTACAAAACAAAAAAGACACACAGTGCTCTCCTTTCCTTTCAGACTAGTTTCCTGTTTACTGCAGACTGCGATGCAAAGCCATCCATTAATCTTTGATGCCTGCTCACGGCAAAGGCCCCTTCCTCTCTCTCCGCACCGCCTCCCCCCACGCCTGCTGATCTCAGATGCGTTTGAACTCTAGTAACCCCGATCCAGCTCGCGGCCGGCAGGCAGCTCAGCAGCGGGAGCAGCAGCCCCGGGCCGCCGCCGCCGCCGCCGCGGGGCTGGGGGATTACGTTCAGCAAAAACTCTGCCAGGAAAGAGGCCCGGGAGCTCCGCTCCCATCTCGCCAGAGGTGCTGGCTGGGCCGCGCCACGCACCAGCGGGCTCGCGAAGACAGACGCGGGCGAAGTTCGGCGTCCCCGACCGGAGAGGGAACACATTCCAGCAGGGAGGGCAAGAGCCCTGGGGTCCCAGGGCGGGGGGAAAGCAGACCTGCAGGGGGAAGACGGCAGGCGGGAGAGGCAACCGCGGCCACCAAAAGCAAGGGATGGGCAGCCCTCTCGCAGTAAAAAGGGACTGGCAGGCGGGAGGCAGAGCAATGGGTCCCCACTGGAAGAACGGCCTGGCAGGCCTTCCCGCACCCCCGAACAGCCCCACAGCGCTGGACAGAGGGGAGCTTGAGTTTGGGGCTGCGTAGACCCAAGGCGGGTAGGGCCAAGGAGAGAGAGAGGGCGGGAGGCTTGGAAGCAAAGTGAACAAAGAGGCAAAGTTGGAAATGGAAAAGAAAAGGAGCTGGAAAGGGGCCGCTGTGGAAGGGTCCTGAAAAGCGTCTTGGAGCGGGAAGCTGGGGAGGCGAAGGGGGAGAGCCCCGAGTAAGGGCTTCTTGGGAAGGTTAGGGATCTCTCCAGGCCCCGGAGAGAGCCGGGGATGGGAGGACGAGGAGGCGGCGGCCGAAGCCCGGGGCTGGAGGAGGGGGCTCTGCGCGGGGCGCCGGGAGGAGAGGGGAGAGTCGGGGGGAGAGGGGCTGCAGG